ATATATAGGTTATCCAATATCAATTTTCTCTAGTGGGGGAATATTCACAAAATACTGAGGGTTCCAATAGCCAGCCACCCGTGCATTGTTCCAATTGTCATCACTGTTCACTGGATATATCACAGACAAGTTCCTTACCAATAAATTCGTCCTCATAAAGACGAAGGAAGTTGGATGACGGAAACTCTACCAACAACACAATCAGTAGGCCTACTACCACGAGGCTCACTTGCAGCGACTTATATAAACCAGCTAAAATAGAATTTTAGTTTAAAAAGTCAAATAAGAATTTATCTATTTAATATTATATAGGATGAGTGCTTGTGTACCCTACGGAATTTAACATTACGTAATTTGTAATAGACCGGAAGTACGTCACATGGCGTGATAGAGCATGCGGTATTGAGATTAGGTATTGTATTGTGTAGAAAAGACAGAGATTAATAGTTGTACGATTCGAAGTTTATATCGTTAAAATGTGAGTTTTAAATAATAATAAAGTTACACACTAAAGTATAAAGAGTGAAGGTAACATTTTGGGGCTCAGGCGGGAATCTAAAGATGTATTTCAACGTATTTGGCGACAATATGAGTGTATAAAGTATACGGCGTGACCTTTGGCTTTGGGATATAAATATGGCTGCAGCTGAAGAAACAGAGATTATATTGGACGGTAAACTGTTGGCGTTGGGTGTTACAGACTTGACTGAATTTGGCTTGTATCTGAAAGTCGATAAAGCAAAGATCGAAGGACCGACAAAGGTAAAAATTATTAAAGTAATTCGAACCGAACTCGAAAAGATTATAAACACGTTCGATTCTGACGAACAGACTAACGAATATTTAAAAGGTTTAATTGATTTTCTCGACGAAAATGCTCAGCCTAAGCCGTCAGATGAGGAAGGTAACACGTTAAAGCCTTCCTGAGCTCGAAAAGCTCGAAATAGAGCTGAAAGCAATTGAGTCGCTACAAAAAGCTATTCAAGAAAAGCTTTTACAAGCAAAACAGTCGGAAAATATTCCCAAGTCAAGTGGAAGCAGCCCTACTGTTGCTGACTCAACAAAAATGCCTTTGTTAGGGTCAAACTCGGGCTTGCAGGCAACAATTTTGCATAGAGATTTCAAGATTCAAGGAACAATAGGCGAAGTTGGGCAAAAAGACAAATTAGGCTACCAATCATTAATGTTGCAAGTGGAAATTGGCTTAGGGAAGGGTTATACAGATAAAGAAATAGTTACTGCAGTAATTAGAGCTGTTCAACCTGGTTTACAGCTTCGAAGCTACTTAGAAAGTGTAGGTGACCTATCCCTAGCTAGACTGCGAAAGATTCTTCGTTTTCATTTTCACGAGAAAAATGCAACCGAATTGTACCAGGCATTGACTAATATAGCCCAACAGCCGAATGAAGATTCCGAAGCATTTCTGATGAGAGCACTAACCATCAGACAGAAGATTTTATTTGCTTCGAAGGAATCGGGTAGTGAGATTACATATGACAGTTCTTCGGTACAAAGTTTATTTCTTCATGCACTTGAAACCGGTCTTAAGGATGAGACAATTCGGGCCAAACTTCGGCCTTTAGTATCAAAAACTGATGTGTCTGATGAAGAACTAATTGAAGCAATGTTTTTAGCAGTGTCGGCAGAAACGGAACGTAGTAAGAAGTTTAATGTAGCAAGTCCAGGAAAAAGCATGAAAGCACGCGTTTCGGCAGTTCAAAAAGAGGATGACACGGAGAAGAAAGAGATTTTGGCAGCTATTAAACAAGTCAAAACTGACTTATCTGCCATGCAGAATGAGATGAAAACACTCCGTGAGACTGTGCATAATCAGAATCAAAACCCGAGCACAGCAAAACCATCTCGCAAATGTGAAAATTGTAAACCTACTGATGAGTGTAGGCATTGCTTTCATTGTGGGGAATTAAATCACATTGCTCGGTATTGTAGAAAGGGGAAGCAATATGGGTCGGGAAACGGACAGAGGCTACCCCCACGGGACAGGGTGTAGCTGATGACAATACAAATAGGTCCCAATGCAGTAATTGTGCAAGATCGGACACGGTATTAACAAGTAAAATGTTGCAGTGTTCACGGTGTAAATCTATACTATATTGTTCGAAAAACTGTCAGCGACAACACTGGCCAAAGCATAGGAACTTATGCAAGACCATTGAGATGCTGGAAAAGCTTGAGCAAGAAGCTAACTATGTTGCCCCGGGAGATAGTTCAGATAATCAGGTTTATCCGAGTCACCTGTCACCTAGACAACATACTCGTGTTGCACAGCTAGTAGGGAATAAGTGTTCCGTAAACTGTCATTTAGATGGGCAAGCTGTGACTGCATTGTGGGACACCGGTGCCCAAGTCTCAATTGTTTCAGAAACTTTCATGCATAAACAGTCGTTGACAAGGAAACTCAGAAATGTGGAAGAACTCTTAGGAGTACAAGGAAAAATTGAATTGAAAGCTGCAAATGGCACGCCAATTCCATATTGTGGTTGGATTGAACTTAGCGTGAGGTTAAATGAAACCCAACCTGACATTTTAGTACCGTTTTTGGTAACCAAAGAGAATATTGGACCTCCAATAATCGGATTCAATGTCATAGAACTAATTGTTAAGGAAGCAAATAGCATAAGTGATGATACAGAAACATTTGTGAATGCAATGAAGAAAAGTTTTGGTAGTTGTAAGGCAGATAAAGTACAAGCGTTGATAGATGTTATTTCAGCAAATGAGCCTGATGACCTTTGTCAAGTAAAATGTCGCAAAACAGACATTTTGATTCCGAAAAATCAAAGTATTGATGTACCTTGTCGTGCGAACACTGGTCCAATAAACCGCACTGTTCCAGTTCTTTTCGAACCTATTGACAATACTGAATTACCATCAGGGTTATTATTACAAGAGGAACTTAAATCAATAAAACAAGGGAACTGTTCACTCATAAACGTTAAGATTACAAATCAAACAAATCACGACATTATTCTTCCTGGTAGAACAGTGGTAGGGCATTTGCAACTGGTTCGCTCAGTAACTCCAATAGAAGTGAAGCTAAAGGAACCTAAAGCAACTACTACTAATCAGCACTTTGATCAAACTCAAAGTCAGGAATGCGACAACGTGAGTGCTGAAAATTTGCCTCCTGTAGACCTGACTGGGTTAAATGGTGAACAGTTAAAACAAGTTAAACAATTATTGTACGATGAACGTGAATCATTTGCAAAGGATGATGATGATGTGGGATGCATTCCAGAGTTGACAATGGATTTAACTATGACGAGTGAGAAACCTGTCCAGAAAAATTATGCGTCAATACCACGACCCTTGTACCCCGAGGTCAAAGGGTACATAGAGGATCTCTTAAATCGCGGATTTATTAAAAAGTCGAAATCACCATATTCAAGTAGTGTCGTTTGTGTCCGAAAGAAGGACGGAGGAATGCGGTTGTGTGTAGATTATAGGGAACTAAATCGAAATACTGTGCCTGACCGACATCCAATACCTCGAATACAAGATTCACTTGACAGTTTGGGCGGCAAATCGTGGTTCAGTGTTCTTGACCAGGGCAAGGCCTATCATCAGGGATTTATGGGAACAAATAGTCAACACCTCACAGCCTTCATAACTCCTTGGGGTTTGTATGAATGGGTGAGAATCCCTTTTGGCTTAATGAATGCCCCTGCCAATTTTCAACGTTTCATGGAACACTGCCTCGACGAGTTAAGAGATGAGATCTGTATCCCTTACCTGGACGATGTGATCGTATTTTCCAGCTCTTTCACTGAACACATAGAACACTTACGTAAAGTGCTCAGACGGTTGCGAGAGTGGGGAGTCAAGCTTAAACCAAAGAAATGTAACTTATTTAAACAAGAAGTCTCATTCCTTGGTAGATTAGTATCGCAGAACGGGTATTGCATGGACCCTAAGGCAACAAGCGCGGTTCAGATGTGGAAACATACAACACCGTCTACTGTTGGTGATGTTCGAAAGCTGGTGGGTTTGCTAGGTGTTTACCGTAGGCATATTAAGAACCTCTCACAGCAAGCAAAACCAATCTACGATCTGTTGAAGGAAGAAAACGGTAAAGTTGGAGAGAAAAAGAACGTACGATCTTCTCGTAATCTAGTGCAGTGGACCTCAGAACATCAGAGGGCACTAGAAAGTCTAATAGACCAAATAACATCCCCTCCAATTCTTGCATACCCAGAGTATAATGCGCCTTTCATAGTTCACACAGATGCCTCCCAGGAAGGCCTTGGGGCGGTACTTTACCAGGAACAGCAAGGAACAATACGTGTAATTGCTTATGCGTCTAGAACATTAACTCCAGCGGAGAAAAATTATCATCTGCACAGTGGCAAGTTGGAGTTTCTAGCCTTAAAGTGGGCAGTAACTGAACACTTTAGAGATTATTTATACTACGCCCCGAAGTTCGTGGTGTATACGGACAACAACCCTTTGACATATGTACTTTCATCTGCAAAGCTAAATGCGACTGGACTTCGATGGGTCGGAGAGTTGTCGGAGTTTAATTTCGAAATTAAATATCGTCCCGGTAGAGTTAACGTCGATGCTGACTGCTTATCAAGACCACCGCCAGATATACAAAAGTATATGGAAAGTTGCAGTGTCAAGATTTCGCCTGACGTTATTCAAACTACTATCTCCGCGGTTAAAGCACAAGAAACGGGTGACGTTGTCTGGATAACAGCCGTAACCGCTGATGAGAAAGAACTACAGCCTGATAGAAACTAAAAGGCAATGCCTGCTGGCGCAAGTAAATTAAAGGTCGTGGACATAGTCAAAGCACAACACGAGGACGCTACAATAGCTCGCGTTTTACAACTCTTAAAGACCAGTCATAAACCTTCTGTAACAGAAATACGACGAGAAACACCACAAGTTCGAAAGTACCTCTGTATATGGCATCAGTTAAATGTGAACAAAAAGAACGGCATTCTATACCACAAAGAACAGTTGGTACTACCCCACAAGTTTAAGCGCATGGTTTACAGAGAACTTCACGAAGAAATGGGACACCTAAGCGTAGAACGAGTATTGGATCTTGCACGTCAGCGATTCTTCTGGCCGAACATGCGAAAGGACATAGAACATTTTATCCATCACGTCTGCCGATGTTTAAAGCAAAAACAATCCAATCGACATACAGTTGCACCATTACAACCAATTGTTACAACTGCACCGTTCCAATTAATCTCGATTGACTTTGTACATCTCGAACAGAGTTCCGGTGGTTACCAGTATATCTTAGTAGTTGTCGATCATTTTACTAAGTATTCTCAAGCCTACCCTACGAAAAATAAGAGCGGTGTGACGGCGGCGGATAGAATTTTTAATGATTTTGGCGTCCCGAAAAAAATTCATCACGACATGGGCGGGGAGTTTGAGAACAATCTTTTCAAGCGATTAGAACAATTAACCGGCGTAATGCACTATCGGACTACACCGTACCATCCTCAAGGTAACGGCATAGTTGAGCGGATGAATCGTACTTTGTTAGGCATGCTGCGAACATTACCAGAGTCATATAAGTCAAGATGGAAAGATCACCTTAATAAACTCATTCATGCGTACAATTGCACTGTACACGAGTCCACGAACTATTCACCATTCTATCTACTGTTCGGTAGAAGTCCTAGACTACCAATAGACAACTTGCATGTTAGGCAAATTTTTGATCTAACCGATCTAGGCAAAAAAAAAGTAAATTCCCATTGAGAACTTATTAAAATTAGTAAACTTGCAAAATTTGGTTGCGAAATGTTGTAAAGCTTGGAAAATATAGCCTTGCAAAGTTTGCATATTTTCAGTATATTTGTATTACGTGCGGAAATTGTTACCATTTTTGAGCCGAAAATGGTAACAATTTCCACTCGTAATACAAATATACTGAAAATATGCAAACTTTGCAAGGCTATATTTTCCAAGCTTTACAACATTTCGCAGCCAAATTTTGCACTTTTACTAATTTCAGTATGTTCTTTTTAGCTGTGGCGTTTGATTCCCTTTTCTATGCTTAGATTAAAATTTAGTCTAACATGCAAGTTGTCCATTGACTTAATGTTTGACTTCCCAGATAAAGCGGAAAGTAATTCACGATCAGATTATGTGTCGAAGTGGAAAACTGCAATGACCGAGGCTTACCGAATAGCTCACGAAGCTACCACGAAAAGTGCCGAAAAAGGAAAGAAGAACTATGATCGTCGTATACGCTATACGGACTTACAACCAGGAGCTGATCGTGTTCTTGTTCGAAACCTTTCACCGAGGGGAGGACCGGGGAAACTCCGAGCATTTTGGGAAGAAGAAGTACACGTAGTCGTTTCACGAAAGGGACCCGAGAGTCCAGTCTACGAGTTAAGACCTGAAACAGGACGGGGACGTAATCGTGTGCTACATAGAAACCTTCTCCTTCCATGCGAACATCTGCCATTAGAAAACTGGCACGAATTAACTCGAAAGACAACGGAAACACAACGAGCTACAAAACGTGTACCTCGCAATGAGAGTGAAGACGAAAGATCAAACAGTGATAGTGATACCGAGGATGAATTTCGAGTTACCGTTCACCAACCGGAGAGAATGGAAGCTAACCCAGATACCCCTGATCCAGTTCAGTTAGAAATTGACCCTGCAAATGAGAATGGTTATATTGCGGAAGATATCCTGCAAGATACAGTACAAGAGAACCCAAAAGTGGTTCATGACGTTCAGGATCACACAAATGACACTCAAGCAAATGTCTCTGAAGAGAATATGCATGGCGATAGGAATCCTGAAAACATAATACCTGACCCAGAAGTGCAAACTGATTGTAATCGTGTGGTGCGCAGAAGACAACCCCTTCAAAGATTTACATATTATGGTCCTGGAAATCCAGCATATATCAGTCCGGTTTATGGGGAAAAAGTTGAGCAGTATCTACCAGTCGACAACGATTACACAAACCAACCTTTCCATCTACCTCACCCTCCACCTCCTGTATTCCCTCCACCATACGGAATACCACCGGTAATACCCCAATTCTGGACCCATCCTATCCACCTGCACCTGGAACATTTCCCCCAATGGACTTATTAGTAACGACGGGCCTGAACCCATTCCAGAGGAAGTTAATTAAGATAATTAATTTTAGAAGAAACGTTACTTAGTCGAAGAAGAAGAAACAGTTCCGCGTATTCACAAGTCGAGGACGACTCTTTTCGTTAGAGGGGGAGAGTGTACCCTACGGAATTTAACATTACGTAATTAGTAATAGACCGGAAGTACGTCACATTGCGTGATAGAGCATGCGGTATTGAGATTAGGTAGTGTATTGTGTAGAAAAGACAGAGATTAATAGTTGTACGATTCGAAGTTTATACCGTTAAAATGTGAGTTTTAAATAATAATAAAGTTACACACTAAAGTATAAAGAGTGAAGGTAACACTTGCAAATAACAAGAGACTATTTTTATGAATGGCCTACCTCCCAGATAATGCGGTCGTGCCCTTTTCAGTAAGATCATGCAGGAATTCTCAAAAAAAATTTGAGAATTTAAAATTTTCTTTAGATCAAAATAAGCTGATTTTTTTTGAAAGGATAAAATAGAAAAATATGACTTGAAACGATCGCGTAAAATGTCAGACTTTTAAGCACACACTGAATATATGCGATTTGAAATAAAAAAGAATTCGCAAATCTAAAATTCGTATTTTTAAATTCTACTTGGGAGCAAAAATTTCACTGACAATTATGCCCGTATATTCTATTGTGTTTCCGTCATTTTGTAAACACACACACCCAAAATTTTAGGCACTGAATATATGCATAATGTAAAACGTAATTCAGTTAATTCACAAGTCAGGTTATTTCCACCCGTATAGGCCAGCCTTCTTTTAACGGCAAAATTCTTTAACGGCAAAATGCTTTTAAATTAACGGTAAAATGCTTTTAACGGTCCTTATAATCAGTCTGCCTGATAGGTATAGGTGAGTTGATTATTGCAGTTGTTGATTAACTTTATGCAACAAACAATTAAGGAGCTAACTACAATAGAGATCTCAAAGAATCGGATCTCGGGGAATCGACTTATGTTGCAGATAGGCTATATATTTTTTGAAATAGAGTTAATCATTTGAACACCGACCTACACGTATTGTATAGCTACCATAATATATAATTCACAGGGTCCACATGGTCCTTGAAAATCCTGGAAAGTCCTTGAATTTGTTAAAAAAATCCAGGCCTGGAAAGTCCTTGGAAAATAATAAGTTCCTTGAAAGTCCTGGAATTTTTTTTCAGTAGGCTGGAAATATTTGAAGAATTATCACCAGCCCAAGGATTACTGCCCAAATGTTTATTTTATCCAATTTCAATAAAAAATTAGGTATAACAATTGTCCAAAAGTTGTGTTGCGAAGCTGATTTTCAAAGATTTTTCCAGTTGCCAGGTCCTTCAATATACTGAAAAAGGTCCTTGAAAGTCCTGGAAAAGTCCTTGAATTTCATCTTCACTAAAAGGTGGGGACCCTGAATTCATAAATGATTACTCATTTATGTATAGTAAATTACGTACTTTAACTTATTCTTTAACTGTTTTCAGGTTTCCAATTCTTGACAGTTCTTTATTTGATCTGGACCCCTAGCTATATATACTAAAACTTGAAAAACGTTGGACAAAGTCCGCTAGATTTATACAACCAGTACGCAAATTATTGGTCAGTGAAAACGCCAAATTCAGGAAGAAGATACCATCGGTAGCAAAAATAGGAAGAAATTATTGTGACCTTGTTTTTTAGTTTTTCTTTTTTTTAAATTTAACTCTCAGTATGGAGTAAAAATTGGCTAGCTTCAAAATAACTCGAGTTATAAATTAACTCCCTGAAATGAACTGTGTAGACGTCTTGAATATTGGCTGCTATATTTATTGCACGCGCTTTTATATATATATATATATATATATATATATATATATATATATACAGTCATTGCCAAAAAGGTTGTCCAAATCAAATATATCTAAATACCTAAATATCGATCACGTGACATGTATTTATTCGTGGGTATTCGTGGAGCGTGCGTGGTAATCGCGTGTTCGATTAGCGTGGTGAAATTTTCCACAATGACAAGGCCTTATTCGAATGATTTACGCTGGAGGATGATATATCAACGATATTTTTATAATAGAAGCTATGAGGACATAGCTTCACAATTATTTGTTTGTACGAAAACGGTCTATCGGACAGTTAGATGTTTTGTGTGTAAACACGGGTGATGTGAAACCCGTCTTGGTAACTTGTGATATTTTCAATAAGTTAGTATGGCTGGCCATAACACACATATTGTTTCACCGAGCCGGCCTATGAGCAATGTTTAATACGTCCTTACAGTAAAAAATGTGATAATTTTGAAAACTGATTTCGTTTTCTCCAGATACAGAGAGTTGCTCTTCAGCAAAACGAGAACCTCAGGCAACAATTCAAGGCCGAAATCAGCGTATTTAGCCCAAACCAACTAGCTTTCGTCGATGAAACTGGCATTGTATGTAGGCTAACAATAAATAATTATACCTGTCGTTTTACTGTTAAGAACTGACACATTCCTATATTTATTTAGTTGTACTTTTGTTTAAGGATAAACGGATAACTCGACAATATGGTTATAGCGCTCGTGGAACACGTCCCGTCGTCCGTGATTACAGCTATTATTCGGCTATATCAGCAATTTCGAATGAAGGGCTTATAGCTAACCAACTGATGAAAAATCCTGAGGAAAGATTTGACGCGAATTCGTGTATACAATTTCTTAATGAGCAGCTTTTACCGGCAATGAATCCGTTCAACGGGGGAAAACCCGCGATCTGTATCGTAATGGTAAGAGTAATTAATGCAAAATTAACCAACTTAATTGTATATAAGTAAAACCAATATACTTGTTATTGTTATGAGCACAAGTTTTTAAGCCCCTGGGAATTTTCAACGTATTGTACAGGGTGTCCCAAAAAAAACGAAAACTATTGAAATCAGCAATAACAATTTAATTGTTAGAATTTGAATGCCTTAGCGCTCTGTTGGTTCCCTCGAGTGCATAAATGATTGACATAAGTAAATTTTATGCATAAAGAAACTGTTTAAGAAGCTGTTTTTAATTCCCAGGAGCAGAAAATCGCGCACTTTACCAGGAGATATTCCTAACTAAATTCTAATAGATGCACCTTGTCAATATTTTACGCATCATTACGTCCAGCTGTTTGGTCAGTAGGGCATTCAAATTTGACAATAAGTGATTTCAATAGTTTTCGGGGGTTTTTTTGGGACACCCTGTACAGGGGGTCTCAAGAAAAACCAAAATCATTGAAATAACGTATTGTTCGAATTTCAATGCCGTAACACAAAGGATTTTGACAGGGTGATTAATTTGTTTTAAAAAATTAAAATATCTTTGTAAAGTGAACCCAAAATCATTGAAATTGACGTATTGTTCGATATTCAATGCCCTAGCACTAAGTTAATCCCACGAGTGCATAAAAGATTGACATAACTGCTATAATGAATGGTAATACTCAGCGTAAACTTGTTATGTCAGGCATAAAGTACTAAACCCACGAATGCATATTACGCATATTACAATTTACGAAGCATTTTAAATTCCCATGAGCAAACAAACGTTCACTTTACAAAGATATTTTAATTTTTTAAAACAAATTAATCACCCTGTCAAAATCCTTTGTGTTACGGCATTGAAATTCGAACAATACGTTATTTCAATGATTTTGGGTTTTTTTGAGACACCCTGTATATCAAGTCTTTCGTAATTAGTCATCTCATTAGTTCGATTATAATTCTGTTTTACAATGCACGAACCCGTGAGTTTTGCGTATTACTTAGGCATTGAAATTCTAACAATAGCTTGATTTAAAAAGTTCTTGTTTTTTATGACGTTTCATATATTATTAGTAATATGAAAATTACTGCAAAAGACAAACTTTAAAGAAATTAATAGCATGCATGCATGTGCTTTCTTTCAACAGACAATCACGCTGTTCCTCATGTCCAAGAAGTCATATAGAACGTGTTTATGACTATGGAGCAATTACATAGAAGAAGTATATTTGCGAATGTTAAACACTATTTGCGTCAGAATCACTTGGTACTACATTTATTGCAAGATCCTAGCCCCCTAATCTGGAATGCCGATACGGACAAATTACGTCGAATGACTGTTCGGGATACATACATCACGCTGGCTACATTTGACTATCTGAAATAGTTTGAAAACTTAATTTATTTTGTTTTATAACTTTTTTAAAGTGCAAAACTACATTTTTATACAGGAAACGAATTTGTCAGTGCTACGCATATTCTACTCTCCTATACTCTATTATAAGAGTTATTCTACTGTAGAACACATTATGAGGTCTACTTAATTCGATCATTATAGAGGTTGGTAATGCATACAATTGAGTGCAAGGTTGCAAAGCAATCCTCAACCTCGTCCCCAGGGCCTATTGAGGAAGGAGGCGAAGCAGCAAAGGCCCTGGTAAAGGCTGGTCACGTGATGCTTCAAATTTTGAATATTTCAGAATATTTAACTTTTCAAACCGGGGGTGCGGGCCGCTTTGGTTTTATCAAACATGGCCGTGCAAAGGGGCGATAGAAGCTTTTGCGACTGAAACTATGATGATAAACTTTTCAACTGACAGTGGAAATAAATATATAGTCTGCGATGTTCTTCAAAAAAATATGGAATATAATCAACAGCAATACTTGTCGAAGATCAAGATTCAAAGAGAAGGGTCTAAACACTGACTGGCAACAGTAAATATTTCTTTTCAGCTTGGAAGCGTGTTTTATAATATATGTCGTTTGGGAGTCAATAACATACTGTCAGTGAAGAATTTGATTTGGGACTTTGATGTACCTTTATGAAAAGATTACTACTGAATACAAATGTGCATGTAAAATGTGATTAGAACGTTTTAATATGAACAGTTGCACTGTCATTGACTCAATATATTTTAATGTGGGACAAACATTAAAAAAACATTAAAGTACATTAAAGGGCTTTTAGCTTGGTTTTCCACTTTTTTGATACAACTATAGAATACCCACAACTTTCACATCTTACCGCTATTAATTCCTTGTAAACATTGTCAATTTACTCAAAATTGATCTAATATGATTGCCTCATTCTTCAAAACCCCCCAGTCAAATTTGAACCAAACTAACATACTCATATGATTTAATCTCTAAACTTTACCCTTAAACTATTTTGAAGGGATTCTTGTACATATTTATGTGTCAATGAATGCGGAAAAATGGCGAGGTATTCTATAAGCATTCCAGCATGTGTGCTTTTGAACCTTCACTGTTGAGAGAGCATGCCATGGGGTTCCCCAGATTATCTGAGCACTTCAACCAGACCAACAGCTGCCAAATGGCAACTACTATGCTCAGAGGTGTAACTTAACACTTGCCCAGGGCAAGTGAATATCATGATGGGCAAGTAAAAGTTCCCTCTTGGTTGCCCGAACGGGAAAGTTGCTTTGCCACAAAAAGCTGGCCAGCTTTCAGTTCATATTATTATTGTCGGATAGAATAAAGGCTGTTCGACGACATTGGTTCAAGCTAGCAAATCATCTGCATCAAATTCATCTAAATTGTTTGATTATATTATGCATTGATTCTCTTTTTGGTTATTAAATGTTTATTCATGATATGATAACGAAATATGGCAGGACTTAATTTATGGCAGGACTTAATTTGGGACTTTATTAGTCCTGTTGTCTGTGCCTTCAATTTCTTATTGTAAAACTAATAAAAAAAATAAATAAATAATGGTGATTAGTGTTACATTAAATAAGTGTACTTGATTCAAATTTTGTTTAATATGTGAGCCAAAGCTAGATATGAGGTAGTCTAGATCTGAGGCAGTAACATAGCCAATGCCACTAGTCCAATGAGTGGATATGTTGCCTCCCTAATTTATACTGGCCCGCGTAGGTACCCCATTGCCTGATGGCAAGTGGATTTTATTCAGGGCAACCAATTTTCATGTCCAACTTGCCCTGAGGGCAAGTGGTCAAAAAAGTTAAGTTACACCACTGATGCTGTATACAAATTATATACCTGAAAGGTAACTTACATCATATTGTGTCATTTAAATACTAATACTTGTATTCTCACAGTGTATTAAGATATACAAATGCACTTGTGATGCCCAACGAATTGCCACAAAAAAAACCATAAACCACAAATCAGTCAATTTCAGTAAGTAGGGCACACTGGGGCACATTGCAGCTCAATGGGTTAACTAGAGATATTGTCAGATTTTGGTTAATAACCATAATTGCAAGAGGTCAGTACAGTCTGTAACAATAAGTAATTCAGGAATTCACACAATTCTCAATAGTTAAATGATTATCGGATTTCATGTTAAATGATTATCGGATAATGTTGAGCATCAAGAATATATGTATAATATCCTTCATACATCTATAATAATATTCAGGCTAAATATCATAGTTATTATTTTATGTACAGTACTATAGTTGTATCAGGTATAAAGATACGAGGTGAAGCCAAGTATCTTTAGGTCTGATAAAGCATACACTGCAAATGTTTTAAATTGCTCAACTGATGGTCACCAACAACAAATAGTACTTTATTACAAGGCGGCAAAATGTATTTAAATTAAAAGAGATGAATAATCTTGTCACTTGATACATTTGACACCAGGTGTCTTGTATTTGTCCATAAGAGACCCCTTGTTATTGTATCATGTTTTGAGAATGAGTTCAATTTTGATATTTGTTGTTGATCTGAGCAAAATATTGATTATTGATTTGCCTACTGAGGCACACAGTATTGAACAGTCAATTGTGGTGAGTGATGCTGAACTGCCTGTTGTATGTTGTGAGTGATTTTGAGCGCCTGTTGTGATGAGTGACACTGAATTGCCCCAATTGTGGCTCAGGAAAAAATGTACCTGCTGACTTGTCAAATAATCTCCTTAAATAATGTTCTGGGAAGTAATTTGTGTAATTGATTACAAACAAAAACAAGGGCTTGTTAACAGTATAATGAGGAAATTAATTCCATCTCATTATATTATTCAGCCTTGATAAAGCATATGGAGGCTTTCTGTCTGATTTGACCCTCATGCATGTAATTGTTTGGGAATGCCTGATCATTAAGATCACAACATTTGTTTTGAAGCTTGGCCTTTGAAATCTAAACCCAAAGCACTATATGTGTGTTCACAATGTTCTTGGGATAAGAATGAAAATCAAATAAAATATTTCAACTCAATTAAATTCAGGAAATGTTAATTTAACCTGCACGGAGGTCAACCAGGTTATACTCGAGGCATATGGCTAACATAAGCATTTAAATTCCAAGTGCATACGATGTTGACATTCCTTGTTTTTCAGACATTCTTTGGGTCTTGTACTGACCCTTTAACTGTTTAATAAATATACTGTATGATATTGACATTTGCAAGAAAGATCTACTGTAGCAACAATAACTATTAAATGTTTTGATGATCATGGAGTCCATATTATTACATTAAAGTGATTTTACATATCTGTTTCACAATCGAGGCAGCAATTTCCTTGCGACAGTATTAAATTCATAGTATAAATGCTTCTATCGATCCATTCGTTTTGCACTGTTGCTTTGTCTATTTAATAGATCTCCTTTACAGTTCAACCAAGGTTCTCAGAGCTAATTTGAAGACAATTTCAAATTTATTCAATATTTTTGGAAGAACTTTAACAGATTTTTTCATTTTAAAATAGATTTTTGTTCTTTATTTGTCGATTTCGGTGTTTATGCAATATTGACGAATATATTGTAGCTAAAGCGATCCGCGATCGCACCCCCCTGTATACTATTTGCTCCGATATATCACGTGACAAAATAATCCACAATTTGTGGATTATTTCACCAGCCTTTACCAGGGCCTTTGCTGCCCTTCGCCTCCTTCCTTAAAAGGCCCTGGGGACGAGGTTGGTACCATCGTTGTAAAGTTCACATGTAAGTATGTACTATTTAAAACACGAGTAGGAGTGTTTCATCAGATATAAAACGCGAGGCGCAGCCGAGCGTTTTATATCTGATAAAACACGACAACGAGTGTTTTTGAATAGCTTAAAATACGACTACAAAAGAATACTAATTAGGATGAACCATTATATAATCATACTAACAATATATAATCATTATATAATGATTATATAATCAATCATAATAATGATATAATCAATCATTATATAATCATTATATAATCATTATATAATCATATAACAGCCAAGACACCAGCAGAGAAAGCTGAACTATTTAACACGTTTTGCTCTGTTTTTACTTCACCCAGCGCAGTGTCCAGTTTGCCCTCTTCCCCCATAAGATCGGATATAGAAATCTCTGATATAGAGCTAACAGTGGAAGAAGTGTTAGCTTGTTTGTCTAGTTTAGACACATCTAAAGCCACCGGTCCTGACGGGATACCCGCACGCATCCTAAAGGAATGTAGCACGGAAATCGCACCAAGTCTTTGTACTTTGTTCAATCACTCTCTACGCATTGGGCGTTTCCCTGCAGAATGGAAAAATGCCGACGTAACACCAATCCATAAGAAGGATAATAAAGAACCTGCTGAAAATTAAAGACCTATCTCTTTATTTCCGATAGTAAGCAAGGTGATGGAACGGTGCGTCTGTAACAGGTTCTATTCCCATGTCTCACATCTAATTACTTCTCTTCAGCACGGTTTTATGCGTAATCGATCATGTGTAACACAGCTTCTGTCTGTTCTCCACTCCATTGGAAAATCACTTGATCAAAACACTCAAACAGTCATTTTATACTTGGATTTTGCTAAGGCTTTTGACTGTGTAGACCATGTTATTCTCATAGAAAAGATTAAATGGTATGGCGTAACGGGGAATCTTCTTAACTGGTTTACTGACTATCTTAGCGATAGATCGCAGAGAGTTGTGATAGACGGTGTAGCTTCTCGGTACCTACCCGTTACTTCTGGCCAGTGTTCCCCAGGAAAGCATTGTAGGACCTCTGCTGTTTGTTATTTTTATCAATGACCTACCTGATATTATCCAGGAACAGACAAGAACCGGCCTCTTCGCAGATGACACCAAGTTGTACCGATCAGTAAAATCCCCTAGCGACTGTGAAAGTTTGCAGGATGATCATTTCGAACTTGAACAATTGGAGTCATAACTCTAACATGAAATTTAACGCCTCCAAGTGTAAGGTATTAACAATAACTCGAAAAAAATCACCTGTAATTAGTGACTATCGTCTGGGTAATGTAATTTTACAACGCGCTCACCAAGAAAAAGATCTGGGAATTATTGTCAAAAGCAACTTATCCTGGGATTCTCACATTTTCTCAATCGTCAGTAAAGCCAACAAGATGCTTGGTATCTTAAAGAGAATTGTCCCCTGATTAGAGATACTAAAGTTAGGCGAACACTATACCTGACTTTGGTAAAATCAAAATTGTGCTACGCAACGGAGGTGTGGTCCCCAGCTAATGTGAAGCTACAAGTTGCATTAGAAAGAGTTCAAAGTCGCGCTACACGTTGGATCCTCAAAAGTAAAGTTGGAGAAATGTCTTATGAAGAAAGACTGAAAACTCTCAATTTATTGCCACTAACTTACGATCGAGAAATCGGAGATGTTGTTCTGGTCTATAAATGTATTTTCGGCCACACTGATTTGAACATTGAACATTTTGTGTCATTTATACATCATAATCGAACTCGTACTCAGAATCCATCTCTAATGTTAAAATCTCCTTACTGTAGAACATCCACTTTCCAAGGATCGTTCTTTAACCGAATAGTTAAAACTTGAAATAATGTTGGAAAAATAGCCTCTCCTGAAAAGTTCGCCAGTTTAACAATTTTTAAAAGCTTTCTGCATGTGACATACACCGCATTGGTCACAGTACTTTTAATGTTGATATGGCATGCACTTGGTCGCTCACAAGAGTGCCCCTGCCACCGTTCTTAATATGCATGTTATGTAATATATATTTGTATATAGTGAATTAGGTTGGGTTTTTTCTTCTTCTTTTTTTGGAGGGGGTGCGCCTAGCATGGGTCTCGTTGTCCCATTTGCGCTATCCCCTTTGGACTTAAACTTGTAAATGTTTCTACTATATTTGTCCAATAAAGCTGATAAATAAATAAATACTAATTAGGATGAACAATTATATAATGCCACATGTTTTATCAGATATAAAGTCACTCCACGTGACATATTATGGCTGACATGATTTGCCACATGGTGTATGAATTATTAATGAGTATTTTAATTCTCTTTAATGTCTTTATAATCTTATATATTATAAATATGTTATATATTATATTATTAATTTATCAGGACAGTCTCCGACACCGTCCGTGCAGTACCAGATCAGGAACAACCTTTATAATATTGATGGTACCTGGTAGTACCACATGATACCCCAAACGATGTCAATCCGTGCTAGGTACGGAGCTATTACGTATTCGCATTTTTTATTGTATGAAGGGGCTCTCTTTCTTGTGTGAAAGAACAGTGTTCGAATGTGATTTTACCGTAGATAATGCAAGAGAATGTGATTTATTTAGTATTAAATTTTTGTTATAATTTTAGTAAAGTGAGCGTGTGTTTATTGTGAAGTGTTGGGCAAAACCAGGGGGGGGGGGAGCAATCCCCAACAAAGGAAATGAAAAAGAAATTACGTTTTCCCCCTAATTATTCCAAATTTCTATACAATTTTGTGCAAATTCCCTTCCGAGAACGTCGAAACGGAGGAGGCAAAGGTTCGAGCTTTTGTGTCCTTCTACCGAGTAAAACCGGAAAGGATAATACCAACAATCCAATAATTCTCGTCTCACTCTGTGCCAAGGTACAATCGGAATAACGCTCCTTTGTCTCCTGACAGAAATACAGCCGATTATATAAAGACGGCCTTTCCGGCCTTCTCTCGACATTAATTGTCTTTCCCGGGAACACTAAGAGAGACTAGAAGACGTGCGAGAAGGGAAAAATCGGCTGTCTTTTAAGGTATGTTCAATTTTTAATACCAGACGTTAACGTTCCCCAGTCCTCAATAAAGACCTTTTGTGCAATTTGCAACTTTCCCATCGTGTGCAAATTAAATCAGTCGGGAGCGAAGGTGCTTTGAGCAACAAGTTACCATAAAGAGGTGCGTAGAAACTTGGCGGAAATTTGCACACCCTCTCCCTTATTTTTGCATCGTTTTGAATGTTCTTTGGTTTTCAGTGTTCAATTCGATACTAATAAGCACATATGTTGTTAAAATAAACTGCGTTTTTACCATGATCCGGCACCGCGTAAAAGTGCTGAAGAAAATACCCAAAAATGCTAATATCGGAATAATCGGATGGCAACCGGCCTACATTGCTGTGGTAATTGCTATCTTGCAAGCATGGTTGGACCACAACGAACTCTATATATTATTCTTTCATGTAATTGTGTGTCATGAATGAAACTATACCGAAACAATTCTACGTCCTACAGCCGACATTTACAAAAAATGATATTTCAATGAAAAATACAAGCCAGTATGATATGGTACTTGCAGATTTCCTTCCATAATCGTTAGTTGCGACTGCGATTTATGTTCTTCAGATGGTGTCGGCGTGCGTGTGTGTTTATGTGTTCCAGCAGGTTAATTGCACGTACTGACCTACATAACCCCAAACTTCGGTATTAAAATGAAAATATCAAATCTTTATGTATTAAATACATTTGAAGCTGGTGCCATGTTTTTGCGTTCAAACTAATTTTATATAAGGTTTCTGAAATGTTCTCTGGTCGTAAAATTTATTTTTAACACGAGCTTTCGACTGCCAGTCTGCAGACTTCGACAGGTAAAGTGACACTAAATATAAAACTATTTTACGGAAATATAGCTATATATACTAGGACAGTGGTTTACAATTACAATGACATGCAATAACTGAGTAGTTTCCCCTACGCCGGTAAACTCTAGTATGCCGAGTGTTCTGAGAGTTATAAGTATAAAACTATCATCTACTCTGGTAAATGTTGCGCATTGTTGTCAGAATTCAATGTGGTTGCTGTATGCCAAGACTCCAATGTTGCTCTGTTAAAATAAGCTCGAGATCGTGTAATTCGAGGTGTAATTTACAGTAAATTTTACGATAGGAGAACGTTTCGAAAACCTTGTTATATGATTCTGTTCTCGCATCTAGCATTTTTAATATTTCTATATACTTATATATGCTTTTACGTGTTTAATTGTAAGTAGTAAGTATTATTTGTAACGAAGTGTCTAAACAGCCGGCAGTTTTCTGCGATCGCACTAGCCGGCAGCCGGTAATATAACACCGTGTATACTAAACGACCGGCAGCCGTATTAAAATAAAGAAAAATACAATAATTTATTATGTATTGTTTAATAAACGAGCAGGAGTGCTTTATTAGGTTTAAAGCCACGAGCGCGCAGCGCGAGTGGCTTACAGGGCGTAATAAAACACGACCTGCATGCGAGTTTATTAAACTGCTTCAAACACGACTGCAAATTCAATGGATATGCTGCCTTATTAGTAAGACACGACTACAATAGATACTGCCTTATTAGTATTCTTTATATAAAGAATACTAATTAGGAGTGTTTCACGTGACGTATTATGGTTGACATGATTTGCCAATAAGCTTATGAATTATTAATGAGTGTTTGAAAATTATTTAATATATGCTGAATATAATCACAGTTAATAATATATTGACTTCCTGCCAGTACAAAAGCAGAAACGGAAGCTCACCCAAAGCGAAAAATTTCGTAAGGCAATGAAGGTAGCTCAAAATTTAGCGTGAGTGAGGGTGGAATGAAAGTCTTTAAAGCTAGGTTGGCGGAAATGCAGCAACTGGCAGATTCCTGGCAAATACGCAACACTTCTGAACACGACAAGAAGAGCACAATGGAAGAAAAAACTCCACTGATGTACCGGTGGTTAAACGTGACCATGGCCCACCAAAGAGCACTGCTGAAATGGAACCAACTCCGGATAAGCTTTCAGATCAAGACGGAAGAGAACTTCCTGTAGACACTGCAACTTCTTCCACCGAAAAATCTCCAGATCTGAAAACCGTGAAGATACCCCTAGGCCGTGGGCTGTTGTGCGAAAAAGTGCCCAGAAAAGCAATTTCGTGGCACCCTCCTGGGAAATAGATTTTCTGTGGTTCAATTCATAGAACCATAGATGCTTAATTACCACAAAAAGTTCCCAAGCAAAAAACTTGCCCAACACCGAGAAAATGGGTGATCAGTGATTATCCTCTATTAAATTATATTACAGCAAGAAAATGTAAAATTTTGTATTCAATTACAACAAAAATGACTTGCATTATCAGAAAGCTTACAAAAGCCTACATATAAGACATTTAAACAGTTTTTTTTATATCTAAAATTATTTTCGAATTATACGCTGTCAAAAACGCGTTTTTGACCTAGTACCCAATTGTTGCCAAAATAAATTCCGGAAAAAAATTTTTCGGTACTGGTCGGGCACAATCCGGAAAAGTCGGGCAAATTTCTTTCAGCCCCCCTAATTTTTTCCTTCCGGTACGCCCATGGAAATACCCCCAGTTTTCTCTCTTGTCAGGT